CCAATTAACAGTCCACCTACAGTGCTGGATTTATGCACCAATTTATCATATCTCGCCTCCAATGCGCAGCTACCTACCCCTCCGTCTCCAAATCATCAGTGGACGAAACTGTGGCAGCTACAACCAGTGTACGACCAGTACGCGGTTATTACAGCTGACAATGATGATGATGAGCACAACTGACAGTAGAGCACAAACCATCATTGCGTAAATAGTGTGGCACGAAAAGCCGAACGAGAAACTTTTTTTGGGGTTATGTAAACTCAAATCACTTCAGGTCAAGGCCAGGCATATGTGATAATTTTCAAACACTATCTGTTGCTGATTAATCATACTTCCGTCATTCGTCCTTTGATCCCTGGCTACAGTATCAATCTTTCTATATTCCGCCTAGGTTAGTTAGTGACTACATGATCACCAGAGATTTATTGTCAATTTCTGTGGTGTTTTTAGGCTTTTTTCGCATAAGCACATGCTCTCAGATAGGTGGCTGTGTAGTGGACAGATGAATAGGACCGGTGTAGCAAGCGTACCAAGTATAACCGCTGGTTTTCATAAAACTCACCATTTGGTGAAAAGCAGGATTTGTCAAAAATTGAGCGGGCCAATTCACTCGTGAAGCAGCTGGCTACTACGTAGCGAAAGTATCACGTTTTCCGCTGCCTAGTCACTAGCGTTTTCATCCCCGATGTCCAGAATCTTCCAGCACCTTCACACCAAATTCGAAGTCGACCCATCACAACTGTTTCAGCAGTTGATATCTTCAAAACCCGGGATCTCCTCTCTTTTTCTGAACCTCTGAAATTCTCCCTTGGATATGGTTCCCACCTGTTTAGGATTGCATACCGAATTAGTGAGGGATTCTTAGTAGGCCTCTGCTGAATACCTGACAGTATTTTGTGCGTTCAAATAAAAAGTTTCACTACCCGCAAACTCATAAGCATTTGGTTCACATTATGAATTTTTCCTGTGTGGCCAGTCGCACACTTAGAAACTGTGAACCACAAAAAAAAGTCCCACCCAATTTGACGTTTTTCTCCCCAAGAAATGTTCACTTCGTTTTCAGGATTTGTGCCCGTTTTTGGATCAAGTTGCCAAGTTTGAACTTGGCACTGAAAAGTGTTCACCAGACCTATCCAGAAGTACAGTAATCTTTACTTTCCTGCCCCATGTTTGTTTCCTTGAATGTCTTTCCCCCCCCCCCAAAAAAAAAAAAAAACTCATTTTGCGCAA